AAGTGACCAAACGCAGGACCTTAGCGTCCGGTCATTTCCAGTAAGGTTCCAAACGCGATTTTCTCGACCGGGCGCATCCGGTCATGCTTGACCGGACTCACCCAGCGTCCAGTCACACAATGTCTCCTCTGTGCGCCTCATGTCAGCGTACGTCAGCACTAACCGGACGCACACTGCTAGCGTCCGTTTGCAGAGCAACCTAGCGTCCGGTCGATTGACCTACGCCAGCGTCTTCGCTGTTACATCTGACTAGACACGCCGGTCCAACTAAGACCAGCGTCCAGTCACTCTCAGTGAGCTCCATGTTTTCTATCTAGGGCACCGATGGTACCGTCGGACTGTCCGCACTGTACGGGCGGACACTCCGCCGGTGGAGTTTCTTACCCTTGCACCTAAACTTCACCACCCTTGATCAAATGTGCCAACCACCCAGTGTATTACCTTGTGCACATGTGTTAGCATATTTTCACAAACATTTTCAAGGGTGTTAGCACTCCACTAGATCCTAAATGCATATGCAATGAGTTAGAGCATCTAGTGGCACTTTGATAACCGCATTCCGATACGAGTTTCACCCCTCTTAATAGTACGGCTATCGATCCTAAATATGATCACACTCACTAAGTGTCTTAATCACCAAAACAAAATAGCTCCTATGGTTTATACCTTTGCCTTGAGCTTTTTGTTTTTCTCTTTCTTCTTTCCAAGTCTGAGCACTTGATCATCACCATGGCATCATCTTCATCATGCAATGATCTTCATTTGCTTCACTACTTGGAGTGTGCTACCTATCTCATGATCACTTGATAAACTAGGTTAGCACTTAGGGTTTCATCAATTCCCCAGAACCAAACTAGAGCTTTCACTGGAGCGGACGGCGAGTTCAACAAGTACCTAGCCCTGTTCGGTGGGCCCCTCTCGGAGTCCAAGCGGGAAGTGATCAGGATGTTGTTCCCGGCCAGTTGTGCGATCGACGACATCCAATTTATCGAGGGGGTCGAGCTTGAGGTCTAGGCAACCTCTGCATCCTTGTCGCCAATTGTTGTCCATGTCGAACGAAAACATCTTCGTCTAGAATGTTCGTGGCCACAATGGTCACGCGCGATGCAACGTCATTAGGGACTTGATCGTCCAGGAGAGGGTGTTGCTCATTTGCTTGTAGGAGACTAAGCTCTGCAATGTCTGCAACCAACTTGCTTCTGAATGCCTAGGAACATCATTTGAGTATGCCTTGTTGCCTGCTGTGAATACCGTCGGTGGAGTTCTCCTCGGCTAGAGGACGGATGCCTGGTCAGCATCGCATGTGTCTCTGCAGTCACACTTGGTAACTGCCAAAATCGCCAGTCGCTCTGATCCTAGGCTGACCTGGTGGATCATGGTCGTTTACGGGCCGCTGGATGCTAATACCCAGTAGGCTTTTATTAACGAGCTCATGGCTCTCCGCTCCTCGTTGCTGGGTCCCTAGCTCCTTTGCGGGGACTTCAACATGATCTATCGCATGGTGGATAAGAACAATGACCACCTTGATCGCCGGTGTATGCGCCGCTTTGGGCATTTTCTTGGAGCAGTGGCGGTCGAGGAGTTACACCTCAACGGTCGCCTATTCACATGGACTAACGAGCGCCTGCACCCAACACTAGAGCGCATTGACCGTGCTTTCACTTCGGTGGATTGGTTGGAACTATACCCGAACCACCAGCTATGAGCGCTCTCGTCGGACTGCTCGGACCACGCACCCCTACTCCTACACATGGATGTCATTCCCTGGGCGCGCAAGCGCTTTTGGTTTGAGTCCTTCTAGACAAATCTGCCTAGGTTCCTCGATGTTGTCGCCTCGGCATGGGAACCGACCTTACTTCATGCAGACGCGTTCCGTATCATGGACTTCAAACTTAGGAACATTGCACACGCGCTAAAAAGTTGGAGTATGCGCAATATTGAGAGCATCCGGATGCAGCTAGCCATTGCACGCGAGGTCATCTTGCGTTTGGACTACGTGCAAGACCTGCGACCCCTATCGACTGAGGAGATTGTGCTGAGAAAGGACATGAAATGCAAGTGCCTTGGCCTCGCGTCCCTCACAACAACAATCACCGGGCAACGCTCTAGATTGATGTTCCTAGCTGAAGGGGACGCCAACATGAGGTTTTTCCATCTTCAAGCTTGCCACCGTAGTCAAAAGAACCACATCACCTCGTTCAGGGTCCAGGGGAACAACCTTGTCCTTAATGAGTAGATGGAGGACGCAGTGTATGACCACTACAACGGCCTGCTTGGCACTCCGTTCCATTGAGCGGCCACTATGAATTTCGACAACGTCGGTCTCGCCCAGCACGATTTATCCATGTTGGACATCTGCTTCTTTGAGTTTGAGATCTGGGCTACCATCTCGGAGTTGCCGTCGGACAAAGCTCCGAGGCTGGACAACTTCACCGGGCTATTCTACAAAGTAGCCTGGCCGATCATCAAACAAGACGTCGTCAACGCTTTCAACGTGTTCTTGTCGCTGGACGAGCGCAGCTTCAATTTAATCAATGATGCCTTCATGATTCTCCTCAAAAAGAAGAATGAAGCCCAGGAGATCAGAGACTACCGCCCGATCAACCTAATGCATAGCTTTGGAAAGCTTATTGCCAAATGTCTTGCCCATCGGTTTGCTCTGGTGCTCAATGATCTAGTGCATCCCTGTCAGAGTGTGTTCATCCAGGGACGGTCCATACATGATAATTTGCACACCGTTCACCTGACTTGCAAGACCTTGCACCAGAAGAAGCGTAGTTGCCTCCTCCTCAAGATCGATATTGCGAAAGCCTTTGACTCCGTCTGTTGGCCTTTCCTTTTGGAGGTCCTACAATGGCTTGGCTTCAGTCAGCGGTGGAGGGACTAGATGTCTATCCTCCTTGGATTGGCAAGCACCAAGGTCCTCCTCAATGGCAGACCGGGCAACCGCATCTGCCATGCCAGAGGCTTATGGCAAGGTGACCCCTTGTCCCCGATGTTGTTTGTCCTAGCTATGGAGGTGCTTGGCGGACTCATCAAGTGGGCTGAGTCCCAGTCGATCTTCTCACCTCTCCGGTGTGCTGCGGTGCGTTCATAGGTGTCGCTATACGTGGATGACATCGTCATGTTCATTAGGCTAGAGGTGAACGACATCGTCGCCATCAAAACCATCTTGTAGATCTTCGGTGATGCGTCGGGTTTGTACACAAACCTGGACAAGTGTGTCGCCAACCCGATTGCCTGTTCATAGGAGGAGCTTCAGCTAGTTGAGAACATGATGTCATGCACAATCAGAGCCTTTCCGTGCAAGTACTTGGGCATCCCTCTCTCTACTCGCAAGCTGCGTCGGAGCGAGGTGCAATTCCTCATTAACACCGTCGCGGCGCATATTCCGCTCTGGAAAGGTCATTTCATGAACACTGCGGGCAGGGTGGCATTGACACAGGCGATGCTCTCGGCCATCCCGGTGCACCTCTCCATTGCCGTGTGCCTGTCGCCATGGGCGATCGACCGCATCAATAAGCTACGTCGATCATTCATCTGGACTGGGTTGGCCACAGTGAGCGCGGGCATGTGTCGCGTGGCGTGGGAGGTGGTTTGCAGGCCCAAGGACCTCGGTGGTCTCTGCATCATCGACCTGCGAAGGTTCGGTCTAGCTCTCAAACTGCGCTGGGGTTAGGTGCGGAAGGTTGACCCAAACAGAACTTGGATCGACCTTCCATCGTCGTCAGACAAGGCCACGCGTGCCCTCTTTTGTGCAGCAACCATGAGGGTGGTCGGAGACGGGAGCTCAACGTTGTTCTGGCAAGACTCCTGGATTCATGGGTGCTGTGTTGACCAAATTGCGCCTGTGGTGTTCGCCTCAGTCCCCCGGGCGAAGGCGAGGATACGGTCTGTGGCGTCGGGTCTGGCTGATCACGCCTGGGTGTCCGACATAACTGGGGCACAAACTGTTTAGGTCTTCCTCCAGTACCCGGACCTCTGGGAGTGGGTTCGCGGTGTCCAGCTCATGCTGGGGGTTCCGGACTCCGTCATCTGGCGTTGGTCCGCTGACCATAAGTACTCCACGGCGTTGGCGTATGGTGCGATGTTCATTGGATCGACCTCGTCATTCGGTGCTAAGTTGATTTGGGAGACGCACGCACCGCCCAAGCTCATGTTCTTCTTCTGGTTGGCTCTGCATTGTCGTTGCTGGTCCGCGAATCAGCGGATGCGACATGGGTTGCAGGACAATGACACTTGCATCATGTGTCTTCAAGCCTCCAAGACTCTGGATCATATCCTGCTAGGTTGTGTCCTCAGCCGTCAGGTTTGGGACATGCTCCTGTCCAAGCTTGGGCTCACAATCGCGGTCGCTCATGGTGACGTCGACCCCTTCGTCTGGGGGACCTGGGCTAGGCGTAGGGTGCCCCGAGGCAGCAGGAAGGGTTTTGATTCGCTCGTCATGCTAACCTGTTGGGTGCTTTGAAAGGAACGCAACGCACTTTCATGAATGAAGCCAAGGACGCTCGCGAGCTGTGTTTGGAGATCCTACATGAGGCCGCCATGTGGTTGCGGGCTGGGTATCCAGTTCATTCATGTAATTAGTCTCTTGTGTGGTCGCTGCCGGCTTCCTCTGGTTTTTCGTTTGCCGCTCTGTTTTATGTTTGTGTAGCTCGTCGGGACAACATTTGGTTACCTTCGATCGATGCAGGCGTTGTTTGTTTGGACGTTCTCTTTTTTCTCTTAATAAAATATGTGCTACAGTGCATGTTCGTGAAAAAAAAAGACAAATGTATTACCGCCTCTTGATTTTTTTTATCGGGGAACTTATTATAGTATGGATATGGAAATTGGATCGATTCAATTCAACAGCTCCCGCATTTCTCAGACTCTGGAGATTTGTTTTTTTTATTACATATATAATAAGTCGTGAAGCCCCAATTACTCTGTCTTGCGGGTCCCACTCTTCCTCCATTTCCCTTTTCCCAAACCAGAGCCGTGGACGCTCCGCCCCACCCATGGCGGCGCCGTCGGCACGCGCACCGCCGCAGCTGCCGGGCGAGATCGTCGAGGACATCCTCATCCGCTTCCCACCCGACCACCCCGCGCACCTCGTCCGCGCGGCCCTCGTCTGCAAGCACTGATCCCTTCTCATCGCGGGCCGCGGCTTCCGCCACCGATACCGGCAGCGCCACCGGGAGCCCCCCGTGCTGAGGCTCGTCGCCAACCTCGCTGACACCGGCGGCGCCGCCCGCTTTGTCGCCACGCGCTGCGCATTCCGCCCGGCCCGTGCCGACCGCCACGGTTACCGCGCGCACGACGCCCGCCACGGCCGCGTCCTCCTCAACCAGATACCCGCGCCCCAGGACAAGGAGGACTCCGCCCTCGCGGTCTGGGACCCCATCGCCGGTGAGCAGCGGCCCCTGCCGCTCCTCCTGCGGCCCCAGCAGGTGCGGAGCTGGAACGCCGCCGTGCTCTGCGCCGCCCCCGACTGCGTCCACCTCGACTGCCGCCCCGGCCACTTCCTCGTCGCCTTCGTCGGCATCGACGCCAACGAGATGTTCGCACACGTCTACTCTTCAGAGTCCGCCGCGTGGAGCGAGGCAACACCGCAAATCTCCCAGGTGATGACCAACTCGACGTTGCCTTGCCCGGCGTTCTGGCCCGCGACGCGCTCTACTTCCTGCTCCACACGGGGACCAGGATACTCAAGTGCGATCCGGCCACGCGGGAGATGTCCGTGGTTCACCTACCGTATATGCGCTCATATGCTCCGCGCATCGTGCTCATGACAATGGAGAACGGTGAGCTGGGATTTGCGCAGGTGGACTTGAATTGTACACTCAGACTCTGGTCCATGAAGATTGGTCCTGAGCAGGGGGGAGATGCAGGATTGTGGGTGATAAGCAGAGCCATCGACCTCAAGATGCAGCTCACTACTCGTACGCAGCTCCCTGCTCATGATGCCCTCAGCTTCGGTGTCTCACCTTGTGTGGTGGTTGACTTTGCGGACGGCGCTGACGTCATCTTCCTCAAAACGGATGATGGTCTCTACTCTTTTGATCTCAAGTCTGATCTGGCCGTGAAGGTTTACATGGGCAGTGGCTTCTATGACATCATTCCCTACGTGAGCTTCTACACTCCAGGTACCAGCACATGATCTATGTCCTGCTGCTTGTTAGCCTTTTCCAGAAATGCTAATTGTGATTTTTGTATGGAAAGTTGATTTACTAGCATGGGCAATCGAATCAGCATTCAGGGTAATATTTTGGTTTGAAAATGGTATATGTGCTCTAGAATGGTGATTTTATAAAATTGTATTGTCCCCCATGTCATGTAAAACTGTGATAAATCAACAGTCATTTGTTTCTTTTAGGAATGCTACTGTTGGAAGTGGCTAGATATGCAACAGTCATTTGTTTCTTTTAGGAATGCTACTGTTGGAAGTGGCTAGATATGCAGTAGAAATTTCTTCGTCTGTTATACCTGTTATGGTCATATTATGGGATCTGAAATATTTATCTTACTTTGGGTTGGGTGAGGAAGGTGAAAGGAACCAAAAGGCCATTGCCTACTATTCTGTATGATCAAGCTTTTTACACTCCAATTATCCGCCTCCCTCATGCCTGTAACCCTCTGCATTCCTTAGATATGATGTGTCACATTGTCACTTATCAACGTAGAAGTATGGATGATGATTTATGCCAAAAAAAATGAATGTGTGTTTTTCTGTACCTAAGAGTCAATGAGGGGAGGTTGATTTCTCAGCCTGCTGACATTTATTTTGAAATCTGTGTATTTCTGCAGTGTTACGAGTTGCCACCACAGGTGAGGGACCGAGTGAAGGCCGCTTCAACTGCTTGACAGACCTAAGGTGCTGACCAGAGGTTTTCTTGGCAATGGAAAATTTGGTTGGTTGGAGCAATGGAAGCGATAAACGGTATTAGCTTTATAGGGGGACAGGTCATTAGGGTTGAGCTTGTGCCTGAGGCCTTGTCTACAGGCAAACTGAAATAGTTAGCAAAAAATAGCAATACTGGTATAATCAGGAATAGCAGTACATATCAATTGTCGTCTTAGTTTCAGTTCTTGAGAGAGTGCATATCAAACTCTGTATCAGTTCAAAGGATCCAGAACAGTCGAAGTGCTCTGTCACTGGTGAACCTACACTGTTCCGGATGAAAAAAGAAGCGGATCAAGCCGGGTTTAAGGGCACGCGAACGGGGCCTAAGTGCTCTAATGCTTTGCCAGTATGGAATTGAGTAAGATCTCTATGTGAGCAAGCTCAGCTCACTTTACAGGATGGTAAAAAGTTTTAACTATGTGAGCAAGCTTAATACTGAACACTAATCTTGTTGCTTGCTTGCATTTCATTTCAACAATTACCTTGATTTTTGTTATACTTTTTTGGTTTCTATTTTTGCTTTGGTTATTGCACAGGACTGCATGAGAGTGGTGCTCATTAGCTAACCATAGAAATCTTAATTAGTAATTCATTTGTTACGTTTAACACATAGTAATTCATTTGTTACTTGTGACACATTTAATTTGTTTGATCAGTATGCGTTTGGTTACCACTCCTGAATGTTTTCTGTGGCTATGCTATACTTGTTTTACTGCTGCTCAGTCATTTTTCTAATAAGGTTCAAAACATGGGGACAAGAGAGAGCAATCAATAATGGGTGGATTTTTTTTTTTTTGGATTTTTTTTTCTCGAACACGCAGGAGAACTATGTATCATTGTATTAAAAAGAAAAATAATGGGTGGATGAGCTAGTGTTTGCTGTTGAAAGTGTTTTTGATGTGTTAGTCTGTACTTGTTGCTGAACATTAGGCTTGGACAGCAAGAGAAGAAGGTGTTGATAGGTCAACAAGATTGCAGAGAGATGAAGGATTCAGGAACATATGTTCAGGACAGCATGCTCGGGCCAGGTGTTGGTATCTGAATGTATTATATTCATGCGAGAACAATAAATAATTAAATATAATCTGCTCATCAGTTGGTTAGGCGAAATTAGCTGGATGCCATTTTAGTTGAATGCCATTTTTCTGAACATCAAGTGCCTCTTAATGAAAAACGTGCTCGTTGAGCGCGGAAAAAAGAAATGAACATCAAGTGCCCTACTTGGTTTCTGTCCTAACCACTATTCCTAGTAGGGACTTTTTTTGAGTAATTCCTAACTGAATTTTGATAGCAAGGGCGGCAAACTCTTACTGCCATCCTTGCATGTTGCTGCATACCAAACTCTGTTTCAGTTTAAAACATCCAGACAGTGAAGTGATCTGTCACTGGTGAACCTACCCTGTTATCTCGTTCTGATGCTTCAGAATTCTTTTTTTTTTTGCGGTTATATTAGATAATAGCTAGGTACATTGACACGTTACAAACACTCTGGATTACACTACAGATATCTAGAAACTGATTTTCATCTAAATTATATCCACACTGTGAATAGCTCCAGATCTCAAAACTAAATATTTTTGACGCTTTGCAGTATGGATGACCGTATAGGCAAACGCTCGGCAAAAGGCCTGAGAACAGATGCCCAATGAACAACGGTCAACGTTCCTGTAGGCAGAGTTGAGAAACTTCTTCTTTCTGGTGTCTTCATTCTTCTTCTTTGTGCCACCGAAGAATAAGGAAGACTGATCTGAAACTTGTTCTTCCTGGTCCTTAATCGTGGCCAGATCTAACCACAATAAAATAGATAAGAGACTGGAGAAAATTATTCCATGGCAGCGACACCATCTCCGCTTGATGTCGCCATCTAGAAATAAAAGTCTCAATGTCGCCATACCGGTGAAGATGCTGACGTCGTAGTTATCGCCCTCATCTTCAACAGAGCTGCTATGGAGAAAACAATTGCACTCTGCCCCCTCGCCGTCGCCGGAGAGGAGGAGGAGATAAATCTCCAATACCAAGAAATTTGGCATAGAGAGACCCTAACCCTAAAACTCGATCTACTGGGAAAACTTATTAAAAACGATGGATCCCCACTCCCTCCGGCCTCCGGCGAGATGCTAGAGGGGAAGGGATGGGGACCAGCGGTGATAGACGGCGGGGGTGCCGGCGGCGGCGCGCTGCGGGTCGCTAGTCGCGAGACGGAGTTGCGAAGCGGATTGATATTATCGGAATCAGAACAAAAAGAAAAGGATGCTTCAGAATTCATATGCGGCGAAATAAAGTGCTCTAATGCTTTGCCTATATGGAATTGAGTGAGATCTCTATGTGAGCAAGTTCATCTCGGTTTAGTGTGGGTGATAAGAAACTTTAACCAGGAGCCTGTAAGCGTGTAAACAGTGAAGTCGCCACATGAAGCTGAGCACTAAGATTTGTAGCTTGCATGCATTTCATTTCTGACAGTAACGTGGAGTTTTGTTTTCTTGATTTGGTTCTTGCGTAGGATGAGACCGATGCTTATTTGCTGACCATACACTGATGGCCCACACTAACTTGCGCTGGGACCTCTCAAAAAACAAAAACTGCGCTGGGCCGCTGGGGAGTGCATCTGGGCCACATGCTGTGGTTGTGGGTGTGTTGGGCTCTTTTTCGATGTGAATTTGGGCTCGCGTTTCCTTTCATTTACGTCAGACTACGCTCGAGCCGCCCTCTCTGCTGCGTCCATTGTTTCATGATATAGGCTTCACAGAACGGGCTGAACCTGAAACAAGTCTGTAACTTCACATAACGGGCTGCTTCCTCCTAGGCGGCCTGGCTAAGAAGACATTGGGCCACTTCCTGTCAACCATCGCAGCCACGAGAAAGCGCAGAAGATTCTCAAGAAAAAGAGAAAGCGCAGATGCCTTTCTGTGAGCTTTTAGGGTTCTCACAGAACATGCATATCATTTCCTCTTAAAAAAAATGCATATCATTTCCTTATAAGACTAACACCTACAAGTTTTATATGCTTTTATGCAAATAAACCCCATTGCCTATTGACCAACCAATATAACCCTCGCACAGCCTCACGAGTGTTTGGCTTCTCTCTAATAAGGTTGCCGAAGAATTTTGTTGATGTTTGCATGTTTACCATCAATATTGAGTACGGCCTTGTTTAGATCACCTTCAAATTCTAAGTTTTTTCACTCTCTCTCCATCACATTAATTTTTAGCCGTTTGCATGGAGCATTAACTGTAGGTAAAAAAAATAACTAATTGCACAGTTTAGTTGGAAATCACGAGATGAATCTTTTGAGCTTAGTTGGTCCACGATTGGACAATATTTACCAAATAAGACGAAAGTGCTACTATTCATCGGGTTGAAATTTTTTACAATCTAAACATGGCCTACGTTTTCTTTTGAGTTTGGGTGCATTATTGTGATTGGTGATTCTCTTACTTCATGAGCTTTGTCATAATTATTTGTGCCTTTTTTTTAAATTACACAGTACAACACAGACTCTCAGAACACACGTACATTCACCCTTATATATGAACACGCGCGTGCAAATCCTATCCACTCATGTGAGCTTCTTCGAAGACTGAGACGATAAATCCTTAAGATTGACGAAGTCACCATACACGCATACATTCGACTCCATGAATTTAATTAGTGTGCAGTTCATGTATAAAGGGAATTAGACCTATTCAGTTACTATGTATGTTGTTGGTGTCACTTGTTTGAGTACTTAGTCACCTATTATAAACATATACCTCCTAACTTTACTAGGTTGTCATCTCTAGTGATGATGTCAGAGATATGTGTTGGTACTACATAACATTACTACTAGAATAACATTAAGCAGTTCTTTATTAATTATATGACTAGAGAGAGAATATATATAAATCTATGAATATAAAGTATCCGCAAGTGAACAGATAATATACCATTGTAGCATTTTACCAGAGAGTATTTCAGGTATCATTATTTATATTTTTACCACTGGGAAGGTCTAGCATGCACATGTATTGATAACTTATACTATTGAAGAAGAAATAAATCATAACCAATATTCTACTCACAACAGGGGTAAGTCATAAGATAAGAGATGTATAAATGATAAGTAATGAGAATAATAAATCACTCAGAGCACTCCTTTCTATAGCATTAGCATGGTCATGTAGAATATTAGAGGAATAATTCCTAAGTCATTCTTAATTACAATTCAAAGCATACATTTGATTAGTGCAATTACACCTAATAATCGTGGCTAAGATCATCATCATATCTACACCTAAGGGATATTACTAAGGAAGATTAAGGGCAGAGCTCGTTTACCTTCGTAATCGGACCCTACTTGCACCTACATTCGGGGAGTGGACTACAAAGGACTCAACGGGAGTGTCATATCCACGATCTACCATATGACCCAGAATATAGGGTGTATCCGCAGGTAAACAACGTATAAGCACCACGCTTACACAATGTCGACCACCTACCCCGTGTACTTTAGAGTGAGTGCTATACGAACTTGTGCATAAACATAATGATAAACTAGCTATACTAATTATATAATCAAAGTAGACGATGAACATCATAACAAAGAACATGAATAAGATGAATACAGAGATTATCATAACAATTGTAACTAGCGTATAAAAATAATGGAGAAACAAAAGAGAGAGGAGTACAAAGTTTATACCGAACCACGTTCTTGATAAGATCAGAAATCCAAGCGACATCCTGATTGCCTCCCTCTAGATATATCCTAACTAGCTATGCTATGGAGGAGCTCTGAGGAAATTAGGGTTTCTGTCTTCTCAAATGACTTAATGACTAGGGTTATGCCTGGGGGAGAGGCAAGTGCTGAATTAGATAGCCCTGAGGGTCCAACGTGAGCCTTTGGATCAAACTGACTTAACCAATGGCCTAGACGCATCCTCAAAGGCGGTGAAAAACCGACATAACGACGAGGCTGACTGGTGGGGTCCACAGGGGCTGGGCAACCCCACCTGTCAGGGGGTGGCCCTCCGCTTCGGTGATGTGGCTTCTAGACCCTTCTAAAGTCTTCCCACGTAGGTACCGCGGTGGAACTCTGTATTTTCCTTTGACAATTAGGTCCTCCTTATCGGTTTTCTAATTAAATCCTGCTGGAAACACAGATTCATCAAAACTTATGAAATTTATTAGTTTAAACACCTAAACCTTTATTGGTGGTTATATTTATACCCTTATACATGTTTAATTGATGGTTTATATTGGTTATTAACTACCGTCAACAACTCCCCCAAGCTTACCTTTTGCTAGTCCCTTAGCAAAACTAAACTTAGTAACTAAATCTAGAGTTTAAAGATTTTGAAAACATTGAAGCAACTCCTCAAAAGTACACATGCGTTCAAACAAAATTCTCCTCCGGATTAGAATAAATCGATTTGACTTTCAAACTTACCCATATTATCTTCAAGCATGGGTCTTCTCAGCTTTCACTTAGGTCTTGAGCAATTGAAAGACAGAACAATCAAATCAAGCACTATGTCTCAAGTTCTTTGTTCAACCATTATTTTGAAGTTTTTATAGATTTTCAAAATAAAACTCAGAGCTCTCCATTATATGACACTCTCAAGTCTCTCAAAATATATGGTATTTATGGATCCTCACCAAAACAACAGCGGTGTTATGCCTTTCTCTTCCTACATCTAAGGCTTATGTGTAGCTCATAGGAATGGAGAAAGCATAAAAGAGCATACTTGCAATACATATATTGTAAAGTCAAACCTTGGATCCGAAGAGAGTTGAATCATACAATCAAATCAAGATGTGCATGTGTATGGATATATATGGGGGATATATATGGTGGCTAACCTAATTCTACTATGCTCCTTGAAAACACATCTCTCTTTTTGGAACTTGGAAACAACTTTGTAAGAAAATAGGGGCTATCTTATTCATCTTCTTTTTTTCTCTTCTTTTTTTCATACGGGCATCTGAGTACCTATTATTTTTAATATCTCGGACACTTGTCTATTTTTTTCATCTCTCTCTTTTTTTATGAATAACTTTTGCAT